TGGAATGGCACTTCGAAGAACTTGGGGGGCTAATTGTTGGTGTCGGATCCCGCACCAGAGGTCCAGGACCAACCAAAGATTGCCACGTAGTCAGGGTAGCGGCCCGTAAAGGATAAAGCCCATCAGACCCACGAGTCAAAAGAACAATCGAAGTGGTAACCACCATAAGGAGAATTCGAAGTGACTGCACCTCGACACGAGTCCGGAGACGAGGTCATGGTTTAGTCGGTCCAAGGACATTTGGGCCGAAAGGCGAGGCCCATAGAGATCGGAGTCAACTCAAATTTAAACGTTGAGCATTAAAGTCAAGGAATCAAAACGGACACATTTAAGAGGGAATAATTGTACTTAATTATTCATTTTAATGTCGTTTCTCTATGTATAAATATAAAGGTCAATGGCCATGTAAAAGGGGATCTTCTTCTGGAGAAAAGAAATAATATAGCAATTTTCGTAGCAATTTATAAATTTTTACATATTCATTTTTGTCCCTCAAGAGTAATCTTTCCTACTTAATAGAAATACTTGAGTGTGTGAATCCGACTTCCACAATAGGTGCATGGTTCTGGATACTTTTTGATAGCACAAATGTAAGCAGTAAACTCTTCAGACAATTGAGCATAATTAACATATGCTGAGATAGGGTACCTTATATCCTTCATCACATCAGGTACAACATTGCAGTGATAGTCTTGGAGATATCCTGGAGGTCGACTTGCTCTCTTTGTAGACTCTGATTTATTTTTAATCTTTGTAGGTGCAATAACTTCAACTGCAGGTGAAACATCACTAGAAACACCACTAGAAACTGATGTAGGTGTGACATCACTAGTAACAGGTGAAGCAGGTGCAATACTTGTAGGAGCAGAATCAATCTCATCAAAAACATCAGAAGTCAATCCTCGTATATCAGCAAAAGGAAAAACCGTTTGGAAGAACACAACATGTCTAGATATGTGAACTGTATTAGTCTCAATATCCAAGAGCTTGTAACCTTTGTAGCCCGCAGGGTAACCCAAGAAAACACACGCCTTTGCTCGTGGCTCGAATTTATGTCTCTGTTGAGTACTAGTTGACTGATAACAGAGTGAACCAAAAACTTTCAGGTGTGAATAATCAGGTACCTTGGAATGAAGCAGCTCAAAAGGTGTCTTCTGTGATAGTAGAGGAGAGGGTAATCAGTTGATTAAGAAGACTGCTGACAAGATACAATCACCCCAATATTCCAGTGGTACACAAGACTGAAACATGAGTGCCCTTGCAACATTCAATATATGTTGATGCTTCCTCTCTACTACCGAGTTTTGTTGAGGCGTCTCAGGACATGAATGGTATGAAACAATGCCTCTCTCCTTATAAAGCTTGTCAAACTTCAACTCAGGTGCATTGTCTGATCTTACAGCCTTGACACAAGTCTGAAACTGGGTTTGAACCATCTGAATAAAGTCTGGAAATATTGTTAAAACTTCATTCTTGGTCTTCATGAGAAAAACCCAAGTAGCACGACTATAGTCATCAACGACTGTTAAGAAGTACCTGTATCCTTCTACAGTGGGAGTGTTAAAAGGTCCCCAAGTATCAATATGAATAAGATCAAAAATATGAGTAGACATGTTATTCTTGGAAGGAAAAGATAAGTGCTTCTGTTTAGCTTTCTGGCAAATAGAGCAATGAACTGTCTCATCTTTATTCCTTTTATTAATTCCAAGAGTAGCGTGTAATACATCAATCTTTTCATATGATGGGTGCCCTAAACGACTGTGCCATAAAGCACTATCAACAATAACAGAGACTTGTGGATTAGAAGAGACAGATGGTAAACTATCTGAACTAGTACATTCATCAGAACTAGCTTCAAGGACATACAAGCCTCCAATCTCTTTACCTTCTCCAATTATCAGCTTCTTGGTATGATCCTGGATTATACAACAATCCTCATCAAAGGAAACTCTTGATTTCATTGATTTTGCAAGTTGACTGACGCTTAGAAGATTAAGTCAAAATTCTGGAATATATAACACATTAGTCAAAGTAATGTGTCTATTCAACTTAATTACTCTTATGCCTGCAATTTTGACATTACTGCCAGTAGGAAGAGTAACAACACTACTTAGACCATCAGATAGGCTCTCAAACAAGTTCTTATCATATGAAACATGATGTGAAGCACCACTATCTATGATCCAAGTACTACTGGTTAAAACTTTCCTAGAGGCTGTCATAACACACATAAACCAAAGAGTAGAGGGAGAGAAAGAGATACCAGTTAACGCAGAACCATCAACATCACTAGTAGAAGCAATAGATGCAACAGTGACTGGTTGTGCGGAATTGTGAAGTTGAGTACTGAAGTACAATCACATCTTGAATCTGGTTCTTTGACATATTCCCAATAAGTTCTGCAATCCCATTTGGTCCAATACCGGTGTTAGTTGTTGCTGTGCCATCAGTCAAGGCAAGATTAGCAACCACTGGTTTGAATTTATCCACTGAGACCTTTCCTTCAGATTTCTGTTTGTTTTTAAAGCCAATTAGGTATCCGTGTATCTTATAACAAGTATCCACACTGTGTCCAGTATATCCACAATGAGCACACTGAATCTTATTTGGAACACCCTTAGGATTAGGCTGATAAGTAGACTTTGCAGCATTTACTGTAAACTGTGCACTCGAAGAAGTAACCTGAAATGCAGAAGCATTATTTGGAATTGTAGCAATGTTGCGCTGACTGTGATCTTGATCCAATAAGTTGTAGGTTTCTGCAAGATCCGGAATTGTCTTCTTCATAATAATCTGACTCCAGATGGTTGAATAAGATTCATTCAAGCCTGCAAGAAACTTAACAATCTTGGCATTATCAGCTATTGAAGCAGTAGCAGTACAACATTTGCAGTTTTGACATGTCTTGACACAAGTAGCACCATCAAGATCATCCCATAAAGTCTTCAAAGCTGTATAGTAATCGGAAAGACTCATTGATCCTTGTTGTAGATTCTAGATTTGTTGAGTCAATTGATAGGATCTTGGTAGATTAGTAATGTGAAATCGAGATATCAAATCTTTCCAGATTTCTGCAGCATCATTAAATCGGAGAATACTCTTGTAGATTTGTTTGGTGACAGAATTAAAGATCCAAGACTTAACCATACTGTTACAACGTGACCATACTCGAAAGCTAGGATCAAATTCAGGAGGTCTTGGTAGTGTACCATCAACAAACGCAATTTTATTCTTAGCATCTAAGGCAACAAACATCGCAATTTTCCAAGAAGAGAAGTTTGATCCATCAAGTACCTCAGAACCAAGAGTTGCTCCCGGATTATCACCATTTTATAACGCATACGGTGAATAATGTGAATCCATGAAGTCGAACTGTGGAATTTGATGAATCGGTGCTCTTGGAGCGAAGTTTGGTTGAAACGGAGAAGAATTTTGTGGAATCGGTGGAATCGGGGAAGAAATCGGTGGAATCGGTGGAATCGGGGAAGAAATCGGGGAAGATGAAGCTCGAATCGGAGTCTTTTCAGCTGAATCTTTGCTCGATCTTCTTGTACAACGCCGTAATCTTTGAACGGAAACCATCGCAAGATCTGAAGCTTTCTCTGCTGAATTTGATAAGATCCGATCGACGAAAAACGAAGAAATCACAGAGTTCTATGGAAGAGAAGCTCTGAGATCCGAGAATCGGTTGAGTTTTCGTACTCAACGCTCTGATACCATAATAGTTGATGAGAGAATCGAAGAACAAACGAAGAAGAAAGTGAAGATTCTGTTATATCTCATAAAACGTTTGTTACAACAATGATTTCTATTTATAGTCTAGTGCTCCGGTTATCACATTCTGATTCCCGGTTTACACAAACCATATCTCTATACCAATATGAGTTATGGTTCTTTATAATTTCAAACATGTTTGGCGTTTGGGGGACAAGTTTGCTTTCACAACCGTATTGAAGATGAATGATGTTAGAATCTTTATTTTGTCGATGTTTTGTGCTCTGTTTTATGCAATTTTGCTTATGAGTTATGATTCTTTATCATTATCATGCGGGTGTATTTGACTTACTATGGTTATTACTTAATAAAGTATTGATGACGAACAAAATGTAGATGCGTTCTTGGTCGATTTATGTGTCGGAGAATTGGAGACTCTTGAAGCTCCTCCCCAAGATATACCTTTTTGCTAGTTTCAGTGAAACGAAAGTTTGGTTTTGATTTTGTTAGTGCATTGGATAAATGTATTCTTAAAGATAAATCTCGTTTCCTTTTCTGTAGACAACATGTGTTTAGTGCCGAACATATACATGCAATATTTTTCTCACTTATATAGTTACTATGTTGCATTAAATTATGCCTCAATCATGTTTGTTTTGACAGAGAAGATGCAATCTTGAGAAATCTCTCCCAAATATTCGTGAAATCGATGAGAAATATACAGAATCATCATATATTTACAGAATTTTATCTGCATTATTTTTAGATGGCCAAAAGAAATTTTATGCATAATGATAGATGTTGAATTTAATCGTTACATGGTTTTGGCATGTCTAAGCTGCAAAGACGCAACTTGATTGAGGAAATGCAAGAAATAAAAATAGTTCATCACACCTAATATATATGCCCTAATGAACTAACCAACATACAAATCCAATATCATAGCCAAAGATTTAACATCCATAATTCTCTAGCTCATAGACAAAGCAAATTAACCATTTGAATTGAACCAATCTTTCAATAGAAATGGATGCACACTTCAAATATTCAAGCAAAATGAAAGAAATTGAGAAACACTTGCAAACAAGTCTGAATTTACATAAACACACAAATCAGAGAAAAAATAAAAAGTAATCAAGTTTGCGAAAAGGGATGTGTCATGTGTGATGTCGCAGTTTCGTGGGACGAAGCCTAAAACATTTTAAAAAAAAAACTCTTGAGCATGTGATAGTTAAACAATAACAATCACATAGATGTAATAGTAATAAAAAAAAAACTGACCTCTTTCTTAACTTGGGTAAAACCGCTCCTTAGTCGCTTGGTCTCTCCATTTCACTTTTTCCAGCCATTCTTTTTCTGCGTTCATGATGACATTTTGCGACTGAGCGCTCTCGGAATTGATAGGAAGTCTTGTTAACAATGGACAACCTTTAATGTTGATTTCCTTAAGGTTGGGAAAAGGCAACGGACCCCTGTAGATGCTACGGAGTTTAACCAAATTCCTCAGTGTAAGGAACTCTAGTGCTCTAAAAGGTAGTAGTCTATAAGGTTGTCTGTTTCGAAGTGACTTAGACATCAAAGGAAACTCATCATATCGATCTATTATGGCATGTATGTCAGGTAACCATACCAAGTATAAAACAGCAAGATGAGGAGCATATAAAAGACATGTCAAATCCCGTAGACTAGTACAGTTGTCTAATCTCACTTCGCGTAGACTGAAAAAATTTATATTGCTACAATACTCTGAAGCAGGTTTCAGCAAATGAACATATTCATCATCACTATCGTTGTTTGGCAATTTTATCTCTAACTTCGGTATATTTGAGTCTAGTATCTCCAAAACACGACTACTTGAAATCATCCCAATAGGTACAATGAGTACACTTGATTGATTGCTGAGATGTAATTGTTGGTTGTAGCTATTGAGCTTCTCATCTTTAAGATAACTTTCCAAACCAGATGAACCTCTCAAGGTTATTGTCAACTGATATAAATGCTCCAAGCGTTGTATCTCCTTAACCACGTTGTCATTAGTATCTATTCCAGAACCATACAATCTCAAAACTTGTAGACTCGACAAAGACGATATCCCATCGATCTTTTTCAGCATGTATGTATGCTCCAAATTCAAGTATATCAGTTTATTGAGCTCATATAACCCATTTGGAAGATCTTTTAACCCCGTGCATGATAGGTTTAAGTACCTTAACGAGACCAAATTTGAAATGTTAGGCAACCTTGTAAGGTTTGCATTCAAAGAAAGATCTAAAACTTTGAGAATCGGAACGCAGTAGAAAAAGTCTTGTGAGATATTCCTTAGTTTATTATCTCGAAGAAGTACGGTATCGAGGTTGGGACAATCAAGACTCACGCATGCCTCCTCAATTTGATTAGATATTAAGGATATGCTACTAATAGCTTCCTGGTCCTTAATCTTCGGAATTTTACGAGCATTTTCTTCGACGGCAACAAGCTTCTCTTGAGGCCCACCAAAACCTAATGGTATCCACAACGCCATATCCCGTATCACATCATGCATCTTCACTTTATCTTTGGATTCACTCTCAATCAATAAACACGCATTTTTGAGAGCTTCTATGATTGTATACCCTTCATAATTAAGTTTAGTCCCACCTATTAGCTCATGGCCTACCCAATAGTCTATCAAATCATCTTTTCCTATTTCGTAATCCTCGGGACACAAACCACAAAATAGGAAGCATTTCTTGGTTTTCTCATCGGCTAAGTCGTCGTAGCTAAATTTCAAAATGGAAAGAATCTCGGCTTCCATACCTGAGAACTGAGCAGCAGATGAAGACAAAACATTAGCTGCGTGATGCCACTCTTCAACTGTCTTCTTGCGTGCCATGACTTCGCCAATTACATTGAGAGCGAGTGGCAAGCCTTTACACTTTTTCGCAACTGATCTTGCGACTTCAAGAATATCTGGATGACTTTTTATTGTTTCTTCCATATTTTTAGTGAACAAATTCCAAGCATCATCCCACATCATACATGTTACCTCTATCTCCTTATCTACCCCCATTCTTCCGCAAACTTCATTAGAACGAGTGGTGAATACTATTTTACTTCCATTTCTTCTTGGAACCGGAACTCCAATGCTTGCTAAATCCACCTTCCTCCACATATCATCCAACAATAACACATATCTCTTGGTCTTTAGAGACTTGTTTATATCACACGCTTTCTCATTTTCTGTTTTCCTTTCCCAGTTTTCATCGTAGATCTCTAGTCTTTTGCCAATATCTTCTTGAATCCTCTTAACCGTTGTGTTGTTAGACACCACAACCCATATTACAATGTCAAATTGGTTGCTTTCTATGAGAAACTTGTTGTTGATTTGAGAGAGGAGTGTGGTCTTGCCCACTCCCCCCATGCCATAAATACCCAAAATCCCAACTCCGTCCTCCATGATACTATTCCAGGTTGATTCAATCAATTCCTCTTGACCAAATATCTTCTGGTGGAAAAGCCTCTCCTCCACCTTTTGTATAGGACCTCTTTGAGTTACTTCATCAAAAACTCCTCTAAATAAGAGAATCTCAGTTTCTGTCAACTGCTTGACTACCCTTTTACTATAACCATTTCTTGATATCCAATTCTTGGAACAATATTGATAACAACATAACTTATCTATTTCATCATCGCTTTGCAAAAGTAAATCATGGGTTTCACGTACCGTGATATCAACTTCCGAAAGCCATTCTTGGACTTCAGCTAATCGGCTTCGGCCACCATCTTCTTGCACTTTTACCCTTGTCAGCAAATCATCTCCTCTTGCTTCCAGCTGTCGTGTAGCTCGCCTCAGAGATGCAAGATTGTTCACAAGGTTGCGGAAGGAATTTCCGTCCCCGCTAATGCAGCTGGTAAGGTTATTAATAGCTTGGTCACATGATATTGCTATGGAAACGCAACCTCCCATCTTTTCTAGATCTGGCAAACTAGGGAGACAAATCTCACAGCTTTATGCAAATTCCTTTCTAATGTTTTATTTTATTAATTGAGGCGTGTGCACGATCATTCTGGTTGACCCCAATGACATCTAGTTATCTAAGACATGATCTTTTTTTTTTTTAATTAAAAAATAGATTGTATTGAAGTGAACATTTTATTTTTATAATGTTAACGACCTTTAATTTAGGATTTAACAGAGCCAAAGTTTAGTGACCAGTAACATGTTGATTTTGTCTTAACAAAATTTAGATGTGTTTTGGCTTAGCCAAGTCAAAATTGTTATTTACATCTCGTTTTCCAACAATGGTTTTCTTATTATTAATGTTTTGTTAGCCAATGGTGCTCTTATTGGCAACCTAAATTTTTTGTAATGGATGAGTTACTACCTATCAATCCTAGGCCTTGGACGATGATCCATGACCATAAGCATGCTGTGAACATTGATATATCATGGTTTTTACCGTTTTTAGCTATGATATATGTGTCAGTTTTAGAGTCTTTTTGTTATTTCTAGAGTCTTATCTAGTCTTTTACAGGTTTATGCATGTTCAGGACTAATTTGAAGATTATGGATCATTCTGGAGCAAAACCGAAGAGTTATACTACGAAAGCAATCCGGAGACCAAAATACGTGTAGGTGTCGATCGACACCACCCCTGGTGTCGGTCGACACCAATATTTTACGACAATTCAATTTCGAGTCTCTTTGAAGTTTTGAAGATTTGCATAATCGCTCCAAAACTTTTCCCTATTTTCAAAAAAGTCCTTGCACATTTTTAAGAACATATAAATAGATTTTTAGGGTTTTGTTTTAGAGACATCTCTGAGATCTTTGATCTCTCAATCTCTCATTCTATTGTATTATTTGGAGCTTGAACCCCTTGGGAGATAATTGGAGAGAGCTCCCCTCTAGAGAAGATCTTTTTTAACTCATCTCTTTTATTGAATCTCTTTATGCTTTCTATTCATAACATGCTTACTGTTACCATGATCATGTCTGAGTAGTTTGCTTGTTAGGTTTAAGGATTCTCATTAGGGATTTAGATGAATTAGTAGATCGATAACATATTAGGATAATATCTTTAGAGTTCTTCATCTTTGATTGTTCTTAATGCTAATTCTAGAGTAATTAAATATAATTTGATCCTAGGATAATAGGTTAGATCCGAGAGGGCGCTTATTACTGGAACTATCTTAGGTGGGCAGAAATAGCTAGATTTAGACGAGAGTTGGTCTAGATACTTTTGTGAACATATCGAACCTGATCTTTAATGCTCGTTTAGTTTTAGGGATTTACAGACGAGAGTTGCAATTCATGCTAATAGGCATAGATAGTCAATTTAGACGAGAGTTGGTTGATTATAGTTTTGTGATTCGAGTTCAAGAACGGTTCTTAAATAATTCCTAATTAATTGCTAGATCTACTATTTATCTATTTTCTGAGAATTTCCCTAGGCCTCACGTTTTCCTCATTTGATTTAAAACCCAATTTTAGTTGCTTACTTTATTTTTAATATTCTTATTTTCTGTTTAGCTTAATTTAAAACATGTTTGTTTATTGTGTGAACACGAGAGTTTTGTAGATTTCGACCCTAAAATACTACACACGATCTCTTATTTGAAAGAGTAGTCTTAGATCTAATTTGACTCACATCAAACATATTCATCATATTAATGAGAATAGAGAGAAGCCAAAACTTACATAGCTCTTCTCACAGTCGTCGAAGAAAAGAGAGACAATTACAAAATTAGTGTTGCCTTCATCTTGTAGCCATTTCAACTAAAAGAATTGATCGCCCAAATAATCTTCATAAAGCAAAAAATAATCAAGCACTCGTTACAACGAAGAAAACCTATTAGTAAGTAATTTATCGAAACGTCCACTCTATAAACTTTAACCAATAAGAAAGTCATACTGGTCTAAATAACCATCCAAATTTGGAGAAATCTTTTTAGAAATCTTTTTTAAGATGATATATATTGATGTTATTTTATATTTATTTAAATATGTTAACTTCATTAGGGGAAAACGGCCAATAGCAATCCCAACTATTTCCTTGCGGCCTTGATAAGTGCAGGGGGTCAGAGTTTAGGTTGAAAAATGTCGCACGAAAATAGTTGGAGTTGATTTTGGCCGTTTGTGTACTTGATGATAAATTTATATTTACATTCATCAAATCAAAAATTGTTACAAACTACCTATTTTTACAAATTTATCTCCATCCAATATCAATCTTCATATTACTTTTCAAAAACTCCCTATTTTGCCAACAGACCTTAAAATTATAACTTTAAAATTTTAACCCTTATTATAATAGTAGGTTGACTCTATAGTATATGTTTTGATCATGTATTAACATTTTCAAAATCTTTGACCAACATATTAAGCATTTATATACATTCTAAAATATTGTAAGCAAACAAGGAATATTGGTATATAATAAAGAGGTAAATATTTAAAAGAAAAAAGACTTACATCAAGATAATAAATTTTCAGTTGAAATAAACTTTACTTTAAAAAATCATCACTTATCAAAACATAAAAAATTTAAACTATATTTTGACTTTTTACTAAATATAGGAAAAACTATTTAACAATTATTAACAATATTTCGGAATAAAAAATCGTTTCTTGGTAATGGAGCTTGTGTTTTTAGCACATAGTGTATGAAATTTGAGAAATCAGTTTTGTTGATGTCATGCAACATACTCATTACAGAATACAAAAATAGTATAGTGCGGCTTATACCTATCGACCATGAGTTCTGTTTCTACAATGATGTAAAGATTTTGGTTTTCTTGGCGTTATTCGCTTCTATCCTTTGAAAGTATTGTTTACCATGATCTCTTCTTTTTGCAGTAAAACCTAGTGAAATTCTGTTGGTCGGACAATGATTAGATATGTAGTGTGAGTTTACTGCTGCTTTCTCCCCATGTTTTCTCAGCTACGTGGAAGGTCTCAGCCCTAAAAGGGACATCCAATTTCTTAGCCGTTGTGGCTGGGAGGCTGGACCCGAATTTTCAGCTCTGTTCCATCTTTACCTCTCTCTAATCTGCAATATAAGAAAATCTGCATTGTCAAGAACCCCATTAGATATCTCAAATATAGTATTTTATTCATTTAAATTTTGAATTATAAAGAAAAAACTAAACTAATAATATGATGACAAGTGGGCATCTAAAAGAGTTTTCAAAAGTTCTCATTTGAGAAAAGTTACTAAGTATTTTTCTCCTGTTTTTCATTATTTTAATATTTTAATGGTTGAAAACTCCATGTATTTTGATGGAGGTGCCAAAAAAATATCATCAAACCTAATATAAGTATAATTTTTTTAATATCATACACAAAGCAAAAAAAAATCTACACAAGTAGTTACACATATGTATACCTAATGGTAGAGACCTCAATAATACCCTTCTTATATTTTCTATACAAGTCCAGAACATTTAAAAATGATATGTATGCAGGATCATCATCGAAATTTTGTCTATAGATAAATAATGTTATTTAAGAGAAAGTGGCAAAAACAAAAAAGAATGTAGGGCTAGAAATGATTTTTTTTATCATAAATTGGGAGAAGCATAAATAAATAAAAATAGAATCATAAACAAAATTTTCAACCCTATATTTTACCCAAAAATAGTGCACATACCTTGTACTTTGGACCTTGTGAATAAAATCGCATCGTTAAAATTAACAAATATCTTTGTTAGAGTTTGGTCATCCTCAAGTGTATCTCATAACCTTATAATAAAAATGTATTGAAATCCAATAGCTGCTTTTGTTCATTCACTCATATGATGACATTATTAGTTCCAATTCTACCATGAAATATAATCAAATTCAGTTTCCCAAAAACAAAATCATAATTAAAAGCTGAAATATTATGAAATAGCATAACCCATAATTATAAGAGAGGAGAGAATCCTCCGAACTTTGAAATCCTTCAAAATCTTAAAAAACAAATTAAATTGTTTTATTTTGAAATTTAATCTCCATAGTCTCTAGATACTTACGTGCAACAGTTAAAGTTAGCATCGACGCGACAATGGTTTGAAATCTGCTAGAACTTTATTGCCCTAAAAAAAATAGATCAATGTTGGTCTCCCAACATTAACAACATTACAACAATGAAAATCAACCACAAGTCTGAATAAATAAATTCAAAACTATATATATATATATATATATATATATATATATATATTTATATTCAAATAATCAAACCTGAAATCACCTCAAATAGTCAACAAACTTTGTTGGTTGAGTTTATATCATCTTGAAATGTTTTCTCAACCCTTAGGTAAGAATCTATTGAAACTCAAAAGCAGTTCGCGTTTTATCTTGAAGAAGAGTTATTTCACTCTTAATATTACGCTATTTTTTCTTTTCTCATATATCAATAGCAACTCGCAAGCGCACAATAAAATTTTCAAAACTAATTATATATAAATTTATAAATTTTGAAACTTGAAATTAATCCAAAAAACAAACAAGCATCATATACAGTAACCCGAAAACTATCATGGAGGATATTGCAATATATATAATCAAAAACGATAAACCAAAATTTGAGCCTAACTTAATCCTAATATTATTTTACATTATATTTTGTAAATGAATAAAATTCTCATAACAAAATACAAAAGAAAAACAATAGGATAAGGAAAAAAAAAAGGGTCATCAGATAGTTGTTGAATCTTGTTGAAACTTAAGTAATGATTGCATCAGATCGTAAGCCATCCAAAGAGTGGAGAAGGTGATCCTAGCTTCTACCATATTATAGGCACCAACACATGCCTAAAGAACTAAGGGAACTAATGAGGAGTTCAACAGAATCAAGGAAAACCGCACATGAAGAGATTCTACTCGCCTATGCATATGAGCTCAGATATGTAGTCCATAACCTACATATGAATCGGTCCAATCCTCTGCCACCTTGGCCTCGTTTAATGGACCTTTCAAGAATCTAGATAGCTGGAGACCCAAGATGGATTAGGAGAGGCCATCTCATTAACACCGAATCAAGCCCATTTGCACAATTTTTTTTTATATAAACCTAAATAA